TAAAAAGAAACGCATTTTTACTTATTTGTATCAAAGATAAAGAACAGTTTTGCAGATTTTTCGTGGTGGTTTTAAACCCTGAATTTTCTATATATCCGGTAATACAATGGGCCAATAGGCATAAGTGGATCTGCTCGAGATCGTCGGTATAACGTAACCTAACCTATACAGAAGTTACAATTATTTATTTCCTAAATTTGATCAGTTCTAACTTCACACTTTTGGTGTTAAAAATTAATCATATTAATGTTGTCCCAAAAAAAATTTTTTTAAAATTCATTTAGGTCAAATGCTCTCTGCGGGATATTCTATAAGTTTTTTATTTTTAATTTAAGGTAAGACTTAATAATATCAACGCTGCCGTAGTGGGCAGCAGTCCTTAGTGGACCGTAGTGGGCAGCAGTCCTTAGTGGACCGCAGTGGACAGCGGTCCTTAGTGGACCGTAGTGGGCCGTAGTGGGCAGCGTACGAACAACGCTGAAAGACAAGTCGTGACAGACCATACAACCAACCACTCCCCCTCAAAATAATATGTTTATAATCACTAAAGTGTTAGTGAGTTTATAAAACCAAATTAAACGCAACAGTAGGGGCTTTCACAAAAACAAGTGCTTTAAATTGAAATATTATGAAAAGTTTTAGAGATGATATATTCATGGAAGAAAGGATTAATATTTTTTGTGTTGTTCTATTCACAAATGTTAAAGACCTATATATAGCTGATAGAACTATATACTTTCGGTATTGAAACAAATATATTCTAATATTAACTGTTATCGGAACGTAACTACCATAATTTTGACAAAACATACCAATAAATGTTGTATTCATGAAAGAAAGCATTACAAGTTTTGGGCGTGTTTAACATCCCTGAAGATTTAAAGTTTCAATGTAACAACTCAAAAATTAAAAACAAAGTAACATCCCTGGAGTGTTCATGAAAGAAAGAATTTTAGTTTAAAGCTTTTTAAAGTTTCGAAAATCTATGTCAAGGTAATGGGCTCTATAGTATCTGAAGTTCGGATTCCTAACTACAACTTTATATTTCTCTATAGCCAATTCAAAACTACATATGGTATATATAAATAGACAATAAATCAAATTAGAAAACATCTAACATTTGTTTTTAATAATAAAATCAAATTGTTTAATAATAATTTTTTTTACTTATTTGAAAAGTAAAAAAGAATTTCTTTCTTTTTTTTATTTGCTACGAAAAAAAAAATTTATACTAAAAATAAATTCTATAAATATTTGCAAAAATATTTACCACAATATAAGCAAATATAGGTTTATATATCATTACTAAATTACGATTCTATGTAGAATTTTGTTTATCTATGGTATGTAATATGTAACACTAAATACATAAAAAATATGTCTTTATCAATGTATTAGTTGTAAATTTAATTATAACAATTTAAGATTTTTTGTAATGCATTTATATTATTATTAATGATTATAGGTTTTTAGTTTTAGTTTTTTTTTCTTTTATATCGAAAAGCCACTAAGTTTTAATACTATTTATTATAAATATATTTGTGTAAGTACTCATTTATAGTTTAGTCATCAATCGCTATAGTTTAATTACTAGTTATAGTATGAACGCACAATTTTACGCTAAATCCATCACTAAGTATATAAGAGCGCAAGAACAAATCGTTTACATTATATCAGCAACAATTTTATTATACTTTCTAGTTTTGGTTTAATTTAGTTGTTTGTACCTCACGTGTTTGCAACTCCCAAAGTGCTTCATTTATTAAAACCTCTTCGGTGAAATTCTGGTAATATTTGTGTGTAGTTTTCATTTTTACATAAAATTCAATTGTCATTAATAAAAATTGTGTTAATGATACTTAAGAAAACCTCTTACAAACAAAGGTTAGAATTTATTGTAGATGAACTTAATGACTTATATAAATTATTTATATATATATACATACATATATATTTATATATATTTATGTATACATATATATATATATATATAGAATATGAATCTATCGTTCTCTTCTAATGAAAATTTTAGATCCTTTTTAATCTTACCGCATTTTCACGTCGATCAAAAACGGGCATTGACACTGTTATCATAAATTGATATACATCTGAATCGATTGGTTGATTCCAAGCCTAAAATTAAAATTAATCAAAATAAATAATACTATTAATTTCAAATTTTAAAAAATTACTATATATTTATTAATTTTTTATAATTTGATAACGAGAACATTATAACAGACATATAAATCAAAAAGAAATAAAAACTATAGTATAGTAAAAAAATATAATATAAATATATTACTTATAAATATAAATATTGAAAACAATTTATTTTTATTAATATTAACCTGTTTCTTTCGCCTGATATCTCTTCGATGTACCTCATCGGGTTCTAGCATACGATATCTTACTCTGCGATATTCTAAAACATCATCACGTTGATCGTCACATTGCTTCATTTCCCACAGCCAATCTGACATCTTCATATCCTATATAAAATTGTACAATGTAATAAATAGAAATACAATACATTTATTAATTATATTTGCACTCTTTATACTATCACTACACTTCCAAAACTGTTATTGTTACAAAGTTAAAATACTTTTTTGAAAAGTATCTATTACTTTAATTCATTTCACTTACCACTACATCTGCGTATACTTGCGTCCAAATTACTGGATGCTCATGCCGACCTAATACTAATGGCCTTGCCATAACTGGTATGTAATTTAATACCATTTCTCGTACTTCAGCCATATCGCTCAGGTGTACATAATAACCCTGATTAGCGCATGCCATCCATTTTATATCTTTCACATCGGCAACTTCTTTACCAATTAAATATGTGAATACGCGAACTGGTTTAAAGGGCAGCTCTCGCCCATTAAATTGGTCGAAAACTTCTTCATAACTAAACGGTGCTCCATCGCTGATTATCATAATTGCTTGATTGCATTGTGCTCCTTTAATTCCGTCTTTGTAATCTTCCAATATTTCAAAGGCTTTTGTCAATGCCGCAGTGAAATTGGCAATCGATTTGGGTTTAAAATCTTCAATTTTCTCTTTTAGTTCTCGAATATTAGCAAGATTTGCCTTTTTTTTTTAATTTCATATATATTAAGCCAATTTTTTTTTATATTACCGAATAGGTACGTAAATAGTAAAGCATTTGATCGAGAAGTATGCATTAAAAATAAAAGGGTTTGTTTTAATAAAACACTAGGAAATGATAAATATTAATTTAAAACCATATTAAATAAAAATAAAAAAAAAAAAAATTTAATATCGTTAAATTGATTTTAAAAATTAAATTTAATATAAAAAACGATTTAAAAAAATAATAAATAAAACTGGGAAATGATAAATATTAATTTAAAACCATATTAAATTAAAATGAAAAAAAAAAAAAATTTTAATGTCGTTAAATTGATTTTAAAAATTAAATTTAATATAAAAAACGATTTAAAAAAATAATAAATAAAACTGGGAAAATGATAAATATAATTTCAAACAATTAATTAAAAAAAAAAAAAAAAAATTTAATGTCGTTCAATTGATTTTAAAAATAAAATTTAATATAAAAAACGATTTAAAAAAAAAATAAATAAAAATAAAACTTTTTGCACAGCTTTTCAGAGTTTCTAGAAGTAGTACAATGCTAGTACGTTCACCGAAGAAGTATTCTAGTTTATGATATTAAGGGTTATGTTTGAATTTAATATATTTTAAAAATGTTTAAAACTCTATAGCAATGTTTCTTAACCCAAAACGTATGGAGCTATACATCTTGGGTTAAGAGCTAAAAATATGGAGCTCTAACCCATGGAGCTAAAATATATTCAAAGTATATTAGTGAGAGCGGTAAAATCTTCAAAACTATTTTAGCAAAGACCGACACCAATATTTTTCTAAAAAAAATAAAACATAATATATTGGGAAAATGGTTAACCGCGGTTTCACCAATTTTTTAGTGAGTAATTTGTTAATGTTCAATGACCTTTCTTAGTGAAATGGACTATATAGTAGTCAATATATATCATATCATAATACTTGTATATAAAATACTGTAATTTGAGGTAAGCAATACTCTACATACTTAATTTAACCATACTTGTTTAGAATTTATTTATTATTTTCCATTAAAAATATTTATATCATTAATAACATCATAGTACATGCTATTAATTTTGGTCATTTTTTTAATATGAGATGAGAGTCTTTTTTTTAGAATGAATTTTAAGAAAAATAACATTTACCCAAAAATGGTATTTATACAAAAATCAACTTTGACCGACCACAACTTATAAATCTATTTAAATATGAAAATATACCACATAAAGTATATATATATGAAACAAATTCCGGATATTAGTTTTTAAAACTATAGCAACTTTTTGATATAAGATCTTTTCACATGTACGACTATTTGACATCCTGTATCTTCGTCAATAATGAAATTAACCACCCTATTCATATGACTTTTTGGATTTTTCAAATCAAGATATCATCTTTCAAAGCTAAAGCACGTTGATTGAAGCATTCCGTATATAAAATTAATAGGACCTAATATTTTTTAGTACATATATAGTATATATAAGTATAAGTTGTACTTGTTTGAATTTTTTATCATTTCTTCACACAAAAATCATTTATTTAATTGTCCTAAAGTAGTTAACCCGATTCACTATTAAAATAAGACTACTATTGTTGTAAGAAAAATATAATAAAATAATAATTGAAATAATTTAATATATAAAAAATAAAGATAAATAAGATAAATTCAATTTGAAATATATCAAAATAAACATAAAAGTAATTTAATAAATATATAGTTAAAATATATACTTGAACAAGTGCATCCTCAAAACAATCAACAACAGGCAGGACTTCTTCGTTAAAGGTGAAGATGTTCACAAAGTCATTTGTACCTAATGTATCAAGTATTGTATTTACAACATGCTTTGCGATATCTAGCCTCTGTCCTTTCATTGAGCCTGAACCGTCCATAAGGATAATAATATCCTTTGGACTTGTTGCTGCTTCTATAAACCATGAACGCAACCGGCAATCATATAAATCAACCGGTTCCGTTTTCCATTTCGATGCCGGGAATTGACGCATAAAGCCGGTCGAACTGCCAAAGAATTGCCATGAAAGCGTTGGATCATTTTTGTAATTATCACGAAATATTTGATCCAAATTTTCCGACCATTGTATACCCTTTATAACATCCAACGCTAATGAATTGATGAATATATCATATTAATTTTGATCGATTTTATTCCAATTATAATGATAAAATGATGTCGATGTAATGTGTCAAATGGTTTATAGTATTCATGAATTCGCAATCAATATTGGAACATGGAAAGTGATTTGTTTTGTTTTGAAAGAAAAAAAGAAAACAAATAATTTTATTATAATTAAAATTAATTTTCACGTTTTCGTTAGCCAATCTACAACATACAATATAATATGTCCATATAATATATATAATGTGATACAATATAATATAAAATTGATGCACAAGATATTGTCATCGAATGAGTGCTATAAAGGTATAATGGCACATAAAGGTACCGAATTTGTACAGAACATTTTGCATGTCTATTTTTATGCATTTTTAAAATATTTAGGTACATATCTGGCATTAAAAATATTCATACAATTATTTCTGGAAAAATTCAGTTTCAATTGCATACGAATGTGCAATATTTAATGAAATGAATGATGGAAGTAGCGTGCATTGACTTAAGCTGCAGATTTAAAGGATGTAAAATAATTTTTTATTAAAGTTAGTTCTTCAACAACTATGTACTATATATGTACTATGTACATATAGATCATCATACGATTATAATATTATTGGAAATTTCAATATTAATCGATTGCTTAACAATTTTACATCCTTCATCATATGTATATTCATATATATTCGGTGCGTGTTAAAGCATTAGAGATGTTTATAATATTATTGAAAGAGTATTGAAAAAACTAATCCAAACCTCGGTCAAATACATTCGTCGGTACATGCACTGAACTGACGCTTAAGTTCACTGCCATATTAAAAAACTCAGTTTTGGGTGTAAGCACTATTTCTTTTGGCGGTACAAATATTTTTGGCTCCCCAGCATCATCTAGTTCACGTGGCGGTGCTGTTGGACTTGGCTCATGCGGCTCTATCATTTCTTTGGAATTGTAATAGGAAAAAAATTTATCGCCTTTCAAATGCTGATGTGATAGTGCAGTATTTTCCGCTGTGTCCATAATGCGCTAATTTAATTTTAATTTTAAAATAAGTTAAATAATATATTTATATTAAACTATATATAGTTAGATATAAATTATATATTTATATTATATATTATTCCATTAGATATAATTACCTTTACAGCGCTGATTTTTAGATCCATCATCATTTCGATTTCATTTGCCATGTTTTCAACAATTTTAGCACCAGATCTAGAGACCACTTGAGCTTGTTTAAAACTCTAGTAATCGCAATGTGTGTGAGCAATTTTGGAAGCAAAAGTTTAAATAAGAACTTAGTAATAGGAAATGTTTACATGATATGTTAAATAAATTATTAAAATTTATGTGATTTGAATGTATGTTAATTAGAAGATACTTATAAGTGCTTGTCTAACTAAATAATATAATACAGAAGACCTCCAATATAACGTTTATCTAGCGTATAGGCAAAAAAACTAATATAATCGGAAATTTTTCACTATAAAAATATCGAAAATGCTCTGCGAAAATTCCTTGAAACACTTAAGTCTTTTGTCTTTTCTACAATGGCGTATATAAATGTAGATGTCATAAAACGAAAGATAAAATGCAAAGATTGTGATTATACAAGATCTACAGAAAGGAGTATTAAAAAATTATTGCTGGGAGCTGCGAAAGCAGTTAAATAATGCAGTAACTTTTCATATAAAAGATATTTTTTTTAACAAAAAAGTATTTTATTTCTCATCACAATTGTTTTTTTTATATAATGCCATTAATATAATATAATGCCACTATAATGCCATTAAAGATTACATTTTTTTTCTCATCATAGTTTTCTTTCAGCTCAATACATATAGTCTAGCATTTTTCCAATAGGTTGGTCTTCTTTTCCATGATGTACTGTGATGAATCCATTTTTCGTTTACGGTTACGAAGCTGCCCAAAAACTCGTTTGGAATTGGATTAAATATTGCCAAATATTTCCTTTATGTATGCCGAGTGCAGCGCTTATAAAAAGTGTGAAAAATCGTGGCACCCTTCAGGTAAATAACTTAATCATATACAATATGCACACAGCCGCAACAATCTTGTGAATCATCGAAATATATACTTATATACATACAATCTGACTTTTTGTAAATGTAATGATCTTTTGATTAATAACTGTTAGATATTTACAGCCCCGGTTACGGGAATTTTATTTGTAGACATATTTAGATAAGCTTCATCATCGAAGATAATTCAATATTTTAAGTTTTCAATATTTTAATGCTAAATATATAATATCTTAGGTAATAATTCTGTTCAATAAACAGAATTACTAAAACAATCACTAAAATAGTGCAGTCAAATCAACACCACGAAATGAATTACTCTATATGTGCTCTATATAGTATTCAATATCTGCTTATATACATCTAAGGAAATAATTTTCTAGACTTTGAATAATACAGAAATATAATTTAGTGCGTCACAGTGTTATAAAGCACACAGTTACATTCCTCTTAACTACTTAACAGTCTTTTAAACAAAAGATAATGTTACTGGATGTTACTGGGACATCTAATTATTAAGTGTAGTTAGATGTATTGTGTGTTGTTTACAAAATTTCGTATTTGAAAACTATACTTTTAACGATATATATAAAATTTATATATATTTACAGCGTTCTTTTATGCTAAAAGTACTATGATAGAAGATTTAATCTGCAGTTTAATCATTTCTGTCGTTGTTGTGGTGACGGCAATAAAAGTATCTCACATCTCCTTTTTTACTGTATTGCTAGGGACTTGCTTTATTGAAGATACTGGCCAGCTCCAGGATCTCCATTTTAAAAGCATTTTAGGTTATACCAAGAGTTTTTAAATATGTGAGTTCTTGTAGGGTATATATACCCTATATATATCCAAAATAACCTAAACTATTTAGCAGTATACTTGTATATTCAATGTCATATATTTTCAAAAAAAAAGAAATAAAGAGGTTTTTCGAATAGTAGTGAACTACAACAACAAAAATTCATTTTATATTAATTGTATTTTGAATTAAAATTGAATTTAATTAATTGAATTTTGGGCTGACCATGCAGCTGTTTCGAGTATTGCCAAATAGCCATCATCAGTGGTCTTGGAAATAATTCTTGCATTTATTATTTTCGAAAATCCATTAAGTAAATGTTTGATGTTTTTGAATTTAATTAATTCAATTAGAAAATGTCAACAAATATAATAATAATAAATAAAAATTTATTATTAAAAATTAATGGAATTTATTAGAAAAATTTCAATTAAAATTAAAAATAAATAAAATTATTAAAAACTTATTTCCATTAGCAATTTTATTCTTTTTCAATTATTAGCCCTGTACCGAGAAAAAAATAGCAACATAAGAAAGCCAATCTGGCGGGTGGAAAATCGATAATTAGTGCTCCACTAACTTACATTCTAATTGTATGCGTTCAACATTATAATGGACATACCTCTTGAACTTCTTTCCTTCTAGTGATGAAATCACCTAAATGAAACAGTTCCATGCCTAGTTTATCCGCCCATGAATGCACTCTGCATTTGAAAATGACGATATTTAATAAATCTTGTAAGTTTAGGGATTTGACTTACAAATTATAATTGATTCTCTCGCCTGGCACTAAATTGGCACCATTTGGATAAAATAAAAAGAAACAAAGTGTGGCCAGGTAAACTGGACCACACCAATTTAAAGCCATATTTCCACTAATTAATTAATTTTTTCCACAAAAATAAAATTAAAAATGATTATTTAACGATTTCAAAATAAAAACTCTTCGATTGTTTTTCATCTTTTACAGTGATTTCACGTATGTTTCACATAAAAACTTTGAACAAATTTTGTATTTCCAGCACTTTTATAAATTCATTTAAATCAACTAATTAATCTCCACACTCTACAATGTATAAAATATACTATTATTATTAGAAATTTCGAACTTAGAAAACCGAAAAAATGAAATATTTTTAGTTTATTGGAATTTTTCTTGTGAAAATTTTCTGTCTCTATACTGTTTTTCACGGGAATATGGCGATGAATCGCTGTCGATTTGGTATGCCTTTAAACATTAGTGTGTTACAAAGAGATAAACAGACCTGGTACGAAATTAGAATGGTTTTACTCTTCAGGGGTTCCAAAGCGCAAGCGTTTCTAAATTCCTGCACAAGCGCACAGCTTTTGTTTACCTTTTGAAGTGGCACGTGTACCGGCATCTGGAGTTGTTTATACACGTGCTCCCGTGCGGAAATGTAAACATAAACAAAGTTCTACGCATGTGGCATATTATTATATGGCACCAATCCAAAGTTCCATTGTTTTGGTTTTTGAACAACTCATTCATATGAACTAATCCATTGATTAAATACCGGTAGGCACTATGAAAACGGCTCACTGATGACGTGGACAACACTTGTTGGTTGCTTGTTTTTGATAAATATGTCATCCCTTCCATTTGTTGTATAGATTGTATTGATTTTAAATTCAATGGTGGGTCAGGAACCATGAATATGTTATACATGAGTATATGTATATATGAGTATATTTATAAATTTAACAATGGGCATATATTATATTCTATGTAAAACTCATCCAAAATTAAAAAACACACAAATCAACAGTCAATCATAAATTAACATATTTTCTAGTCTATAAATCAAATCCCATAGGGTGTAATATAGAAATGCTGGTGCTTAATCCATTCCTTTGAATTTAATTAAGCTATGGCTTTCAACTGTGACAATCAACTAGAAACGACTAGAAAGTAGAAATTTAAAAAAGTTACACATTTATTTGTTCGATCACATTGGTTGAATTTTTCTTATATATACATATATTATATATATAATCATAAGATACGTATATATTTTATATATTTTTTTTTTCCATTGATATATTTATTGAATCTTTCATTTATAGAAATTGATAATAATTTTGCGAATCTTAAAAATCTAACATGCATAATATGCTATTAAGTTAGGGTATTCATATTTATCAATGGTTTTCTTTTAAACCGGTTGACTACAGTTGCAGAAGATAAACATCGAGCATAAGGATTTAGATGCGACTTGAGTCTCTCTAAGAATTTAGGTGTATATTGGCGAATTACTTCTTCAACGTTTGGTAGATTTAGTTCTTTGTGAAGATTTTTGTTTTAGATGTACCATGGAGCGTATGTGGTTGTCGGAGAATTTTATTTTGTATTCTCTAGATTTTTCCTATATTTGAGTTATACGCAGAACACCACAGTTCTATACCATAAGTTTAAATTGGCTTTCAAATTGATTTATATATTAACAATTTACTATCGAGACAGAGTTTAGAGTTAGAGTTTATAATATAAACAGATATTATTAATATTTGTTGATTATCTAGTACCACGTTCCCACTGCATATAAATCAACTTATATAAATCAAATTAAGATTTAGTCGTTTCCATTGGCAAATGTTGATTTATGCATGTGAAAGAGCTTTTATGTGTCAGAAAGTTTGTTTACATTCCAATTGTTAGCAGATAATATTTAGTTTTGTATTGTTAGCAGAAATTAATTAATTGATCAATGATCATGGAAAGAGTAAAAAAATGCAAAAAATTTTGTGTATAATATTTATTTATAAAGAACAAACATTTTAAAAATTTTTTACCTCTTATATATTTTTTATTTCTTTGCATTTTGCTTCATGTGTCGAATAAGTCATATTTGTATAATTTCCCTTTTGGGAAATATATTTTGCAATGTTGCATTCGACATTTTTGGTGTAATTACCTTTGATTTATTCTTAATTAAGTTAAAAAGCATAGAAATTCTTTGTATGGTAAATCGAATTTAGCGCTCTAAATTAAATAAACTGCTTCATATGACATAAATTATAGTTTATAACATTATTAGTGAAAATAAAAACTTCTTCATTCGGCACTTATACCCTTTGATAGCTGAGAGGTTTCTCCAGAGTCCCACCCTTCTCATTGACTAATTTAGGTATTCCTCAAAAGCTTCGTGTTTATTCGATGACTGATCTAACATCTGCGTAGCCTGTCGGATTGCGGAAATAGCTTCAAGGCTCTGTCCTTTATGTAATTTTTGATCGGTTCTATTCTAAGGTCTCTTAGCATGTTATTTGTGTGGATGTACCAAGACACTTTGAAAAGTCTTCGGAGAGCCTGACTTTAAGCAACTTGCAGCTTCTGGATAGAAGAGTTTGGAGCTTTGCTATATGCGAGACACCCATAGAATAGTGCTGGTCTGATTAACTGGCTGCAGATCAGCTTTCTGTTCTTCACACTAAGGTTATTGTGTTTGAGAAGTGGTTGTAAGCAGTGCAGTGTTTTTGCGCAATTACTTCTTTTGACTTGTATGTGCTTGTGCCAAGTAAACCGCTTATCAAATGTGATTCCAAGGTATTTGATGCTGTCATAATTAATTGCAATGTCACCAACTCTCACTCTTGGTGGATGCTGCCTGTGGTTATGAGTTATAAACAGGGCTTTAGTTTTCTCGTTATTATTTTTCATTTCTTGAAGAATTTTAGGAAGAGATTAACATGGTCCTGCAACGTGTTGGTTATATTTCTAGCATGTTTATCGGAATATAACATGCATGTGTTATCTGCGTATAATGTTAGCACTGAGGGACTTAGCCTTGGGATATCAAACGTAAAGATGTGGTACAACAAGGGAGACAGCCGCGATCGTTGAGGTACACCGGCTTCTATCCTTCGGATTGATGAGATGGTACTGTGTATTCTTACACGGAAAGACCTCTCACTCAGGAAGCTGCCAAGGATTTTGATCAGCCCGAATGGGACACCAAAACGATACATTTTAATTATCAGGTTATTTTACGTTAAGACTTAGGAACAGCTTATGTCATTTGAACATATATAAAACATAATACCGATTAAAACTGGAAATATGGAGAGAACTTGAAATAATTATATTTGCAAAATACCATATATAACAAAAAGGAGATAAAAATATATAGAGGCTGAATTCAATCAATTAATTGCCTGAAAAACAGGTACAATAACTTGGTTCTTCGGAATTATTTCAATATACCTTGTGTGTCTAATTTAACTTTAACTACCTTATAATAATCTTACATAGGTCAAGAGAATTATATTACTTTTTCTATAGCAGAAATTTTAAATGCGCGTAGCTTTATTATAGCACTATTTTCGTCAACAAATTTTCAGTGGCAATGAAACAATCGAGTCCTCCTAGTGTGTTGTGTCTGGTACCACCACAAAACAAAAATTTAAATGAAAAACAAAATGTATTTTATCAAGTGTTACGTGGTCCCCCGTCTAATATACGTTCCAATTACTGAAATTTAATATCTGAAATCATTAATATATATATGTATGTGTTATATATTTTTTAATCATATCTAAATAATTAATTCATGTCAATATTTAATAATTTTATTTCGCTAATATTTTATAGATAAGAAGTGCACATAAACTAATGTATATATTAAGTAGATACAATAGTTTATATAGGATCACATCGTTCATATTTTTACTAGTACGGATTATATAAGATACAATTTACAATGTGAGTTTGTAAATAACTGCTTTCTGATACTACAATATCAATACTGATTTGAAATAAAATTTCTTAATTATACTATTTTAGACTCTGTTTATTTTAAAGCATTTATAAAAATAGATGGTTTAAGACGTGCGGTCTAAATTAGTATATAGTTCAAATCAAAGCAATTTTTTAACCGCTACATGACTTCATTTTCATTAACCCACTTCAGATTGTTAAGTATCTAATATTGGGAAGCATCTCCTATATCCATTCTCCATTCTCCTATCTGAAATATATTTTTAATAAGAGTAACAATAAAAATTTAAAAAATGTTTACTCTTATAGCAACGGAAAAGGTAAAAGTGTGTTCACCAAGCTAGCATCAGTTCCGATTAGATGAGCCCAAGACACTAGTAAGATTTAAAATACTCATCAACGTGCCAACTATAATTTTTTCCGAAGCGTATAAGATACTGCCGACAATCCGTGTTAGTGGCTAAAAAAATATATTTAGTATTTGCAATTCTTGATTTATATGTAAATATATATATATGTGCAAATACTCACATTAAGTAAAAACAAGACTAGACAAAAGGCACGCTGTACTAGAACTATAAATATGGAAAAGCCAGTTAACAGTCCTAGGAGGGTCACCAAAGTAAGAACTTCAATCAAGCGTACAGCTACCGGCATGGCGAACAAAAAATAGTTAATAATTTTTCACAAATTTTCAAATATTATTTACGTAGCAATTTTGATTTTATACAATAGCAATTTTAGTGTAGTTACTATTTTATATTAATTTTGTTTTTTATTATTCGAACAAAATTGGATATTCAGGTTACAGTTTTTTCCATGGCTATAATGATTTTGATTTTTATACATTTGAAATTTTTATTATTACAATGGTTTCGTCATTCAAACAGCGCTCGGAGTAAGTCATATAGAAAACTTATAAATTGCCTAGCGTTCTAAATTGTAAACATAGATTTCGTCTCTTATTTATCTCACTAAAAAATATTTTGAAAATAATTTCTTACCACAAAACGTGCAATTAACTCTATATAATGTAGTATTGCTTCCTTAAGATTTTCTGATTCTCCATCACGAATCATACGCAACAAGACCTTTTTTGCAAAATTAATAAAAAAAATTAATTACAATAAATATGTGAAAATGATTAAAAGATACTTACCACTGCTGTAGCAACCAGCACTAATGGCCAAACAATAGACAAAATCACACGTGCCACCCAGAGAATTAAGTACCAGACGATTAAAGCAATACCAATATAACCGATAATAGTTGCACACCGTGATGGTGCCTCTAAATTAATATTTTTAGCAAGCCATTCATACAGTACTGTACGCAAGGGGAGGTTCTAACAAAAGTTAATTAAGTAAAGTGTCATAATATATCTATACATAATTTACCTGCCAACTATCTGCTTCCATTTTTAATTTTGCTAAAATTTCGATATTATGCCAAACAGACAAATTTTTTTTATAAATGCTTTTAATTTTTATTTTTTGTTATTACATTTTTATCTACGAAATATTATTTAATTTTATATTGCTCTTTTAATTTTGACAGCAAATGTTATGCTTACTTTAATACTAAAATTAAAATTTTTCTTCTTCTTCTTGAGTTAGTGAAATTACGCACGTTTACTCTATAATGGCTGGGGGGCTTATCTCTACCCCACACTAGGCTTTAACTAGGCTAAAAAAATCATATCATTTATTTATCTTTTAGTTGATGTCGGAACTTAAATCAGCATATCTTCCTGAGAGTCCAGAAGTGGACTTGAGGATTGTTAGGGCGGGGTTAAGTAGCATATCAACTTTAGTGAATAATTTTAGAGCTCTGTCTCTGATATATTTTTTCACTGAGTCAATCCTAAGATATTAAAATTTAAAATTTTCATTGTTTGCATAAGAATTTGTAATGAAATAACTTTCATTTACTCGAAATACAAATTTTTCATTTCAATTTGATTCTTTTAAAATTAAACAAATGATTCACATTAAAAAAAAATAAATTCTATTTATTCTATTTTGAATGAATGCAAATGTTAATTCTATGCATATCCAATTATATACCTAGATTGACAACATTTTTGATTCACTACAGCTTAAGTCTTATCCATACAGCTCAAGTAATAAATATAATTTTGCTCTGTTCCTTAAAATCAAATTTCATTTAAAATATATTTAACCATTGGTTTATAGGAAAGAAAATGAAGTCGACATCAGCTTTGAATGATGTAATATTGAACTTAAATAACCAATCATAAAGCTGGATTGGCAATACTTTTGATTCAATGTAGCTTAAGCCCAATTCACACAGCATGAGTAGTAATTAGTTCAATTAGCTCAATTAGTTAGTAATTAGCTCAATTTGTTAAAATCTGTTTACACAGTATACCATCCGCGGTATTCAAAAGTGCTCGGTATTTGTTTTTGTGTGATAACAACGTTACCGTGTTAAAGAATTACCGAGGTGTCAGGTTTGATAATTTTTTCAGTTTTCGATAAACAATATCATCTGCATTCATATGAGAGTTTCGTTTGTACTTTTAGCTGTCAATTGCTGTTGCTACCAATAAAAAATGAAAATTTTTGACAGCTAAAATTACAAACAAAACTCTCGTGTGAGTCCAATATAACAAAAATGAATTATACTTAATAACAAACAAAACTCTAGTGTCTAGAATCCAGTATAACGGTAATTTTATAGTTTTACCGATTATTTAATTACTGAGCAATGTTTGTTTAGCTCAATCACTTTATATAAATTTTGTTTCTCATTTTTATGTCTTTTGATAAAAAATAGATTTTTATTTTTATTTTTAAAATAACACAATTTCCAGAACTTGAAGAAAATTTAGGATTAAAATGCTATATTTTACGTTTACATGGGCAATTTATTTTTAATACCAAGTAGCAAATTATATGTAATTTGTAAATACCCAAATAATGTTGTATTACTTTTCAAAATGTTTATTTCGCTTTTCTACATAAGTTTAGCAACAAAATTAATCTTAAAAAATTACTTAAGTGTTGTATCGGTTAATATCGCTCCGTATAATGTAAATTATAATAATGTAATGTAAATAATAAGCGTAATTACAATGTAATGCAATACAATACCACATAAAATGTATACCCTATTCATTTTTATAGTGAAAGTTATTTTTAAAATCGTTTATTAACAACGGACTTATTGTAATTTTAGTTATATAACTTTAAATATAGCCTTCGCAAATACGTAAACAAAAAAAAACAGTTGCACTACATACTAATCAATTTATTAAAACAATTTAACACCTCAATACAATTTGGTGTGCACCCTACCTAAATGTTTCCTAACAGTAGAATATTATTTGCTATATAAAGCTGCCAATAATTTTTATTCTTTAACAATTTTCTCCAACTATACGTTATTTGAAATATAAATTTTACTTTATACATTATTTTCTTTATATTATTGCTTTAAATAATTATTATTGTTCTTAAGTTTTTGAAAATGTTTTTTTTT